TTAGGGTTTAGGTTTAGGGTTTGGTGTTTAGGGTCTAGGGTTTAGGGTTTTTGGTTTAGGGTTGTGGGTTTAGGATTTGTCCAGGGATTCGGGTTTAGGGTTAAGGGTTTGCTTGGGATTTTTGAAGAGTGCGTTAAGGGCTTTCTGGGTTCCTTAAACGGTGTGGCTTTAGAACAATCATGGCGCAGCGGCCAATGCAGTATGCGGATTTGGGGTTCAGCGTTTAGGGTTTAGGGTTTAGGGTTCAGCGTTTAGGCTTCAGGGTTCCGCAGAATTGGCCCGGCAACGGATAAAACGTGGTGCGGAAGAGTTACAGAGGTCATTCCATGGGGTGCCTTTGCATAGTTATACTTTAGAATTTATATATCCCCCCCCCAAAAAAAAGGAACCTATTCCATTACTTGAAACCCTCGTATTACCCAGCAGGCTCGTTGAAGTTCTTGCGACCCCCTGGTCTATGCAGTCTATGAAACCAGCCTCCGGTCCTTAGAGTCGCGCGGCCAGATTCCCTAATCCCCCCAACCCTCTAGTCCGCAAGTCCCTCAACCCCTAAACCTTCAAACCCTCAACCCGAAACCCTAAGGCCTAAACCCTAAACCCTAAACCCTAAACCCTAAGTCCCTAATCCCCTAAACCTTGAAACCCTCAACCCGAAACCCTAAGGCCTAAACCCTAGACCCCGATAACCCCTAAACCCTAAACCCTAAACCCTAAACCCTAAACCCTAAGCCCTAAACCCTAACCCCTAAACCCTCAACCTTGAAGCCTATTCACCGTGAGTGCTCCCGGAGGTTTATCCGGAGACTGAGATTCCGAGGACTGCCCGGGATCCTTAGAGTTTAGGGTTTAGGGTTTAGGGTTTAGGGTTTAGGGTTTAGGGTTTAGGGTTTAGGGCCTTAGATCTCTGGCACGAAGGAATAGTTTGGGGTTGGGTTTAGGGTTTGGGAATTAGACCCCTTCAGCTGTCATTGCCACGTAGGGTGCATGGTATAGGGCTGCATATCCAGGTATGTAAGGGCTCCATGAGGGTTGTACTACAGGGGTTCTAGAAGGGTTGCGACATGGGAATAATTTGGGGCTCGATTCCATGAGGACTATCGGAAGAGGTACCAGCAAAACCATCTTCCGAGCCATCAGCTTATCATGAACTTTCAGGGTTCAGGGTTTAGGGTTTAGGGAGTTTAGGGTTTGCAAGACCAACCTTCTACATGAAAGTCTCGAGAGTGCGACGGGCCAACACACCACAGCCCTGGAAAACCAGAGGCCGATTTGACTTCAGGTCGGTTTGTTGCTAGCACCGCTGAAGGAAGCCGTTTTATATACACGCACAAGTTCCGAAGGAGCTTGCATGTATTTGTATATATATATATATATACATACACATAATATGCACATGCTTGTACATACACCTGCCTACATACATACACTCGTACATACATACATGTGCACTTCATGCACATGTGCATTTCCGTATACATATAGATACACGTACATCCACACACACAGATACAAATGTTTATATGTATATATATATATATCTATGCATATACACACATGTATGTAAATATGAATAATTAAATAGATAAATACATAAATAAATACAGAAATAAATAAATAGATAAATAAATATACATATATATGTATACACATACATGTACAACCATATAGATATACATAGACATACTATATCTATATACATGAATATATGCATATTACACATATATGTATACACACACATATATATATATATAGATACATACACATGCACATACAGCTACATATACATATACATATACATATACATATACATATACATATACATGTACGTATACGTGTACATATATTTGTGCCTATACATATACACATGCACATGCATATACATATACATACACATACATCGCATACGTACATATGTATGTATGTGCATTTCTGTATACACGTACATATATATATATATATATACAAACTTATTTGCACGTGCACATTTGCTCATGCATGCTCATTCACCGAAACCCTAAGCCCTGCTTCATCATGTCCCCGCGACCTGGCACTTCAAGGCCACAAGGCAGGAGTGGTGCAATTATCGTTGCAGCCTGCGCGTTCTAACCCTAGTTGTAAGAATTCGACCCGGAACAAAGGCCCTAACGTGGAATCGCTACACGAAGCCTTAAGATGGGCTGCAGTTGTCTAAGCAAATTCCTTGAACCTTAAAGCCAAAACGATGCATCCCCACCATGTGGGTGGTTGTCAAAATTATGGTCCCTTTTTGGGTTCTTATCACAATACGGCACCTATTATTTAGGGTACCCCCAAAAGGAACCCTAATTTTGACAACCACCCATGTGTGTCGCAGTAGCAGGACCAACACTCTGAAGGTCCTCTCAGGCGACGGGGCCGCGAATATCCTGGAGGCCATGACCAACGGGGTCATGACGGGAATGGCCATGGTCGCTTGGCTCAATTCTGGAGACTTCCACTCCGGCATTCCAGGCTTGTCGAATCCTGCACTTCTGTCTCTATCGCGCTTTCCTTCTCTCTATCTCTCTATCTCTCTATCTCTCTATCTCTCTATCTCTCTATCTCTCTCTCTCTCTCTCTTGTTGTCCTGAACCTTTTCTCACTCTGTTCTCTACTGTTCTCTGCTCTCCCTTCTCCCCTGTCCTTCTCCTTATCCTTTGTTGGGTCTATGTCACGTCACCGTCACTGTGGCCCCTCTCTCTGTACATCTGTCTGTTTGTCTGCTTGTTTGTCTGCTTCTCTGTCTGCCTGTGTGTCAGTCTGTCTGACTCTCTGTCTGTCTGACTGTCTGTCTGTACGTATGTATGTACGTGTATGTATGTGTATATTCAGGTTCCTGTCTAAATTTGTGCACGCCAAGCCCCAACCCATTCGTGGTCCTACCCATTCGGCTCCTTCCTGCGTGTCAGTCTCATGCACAGGACGCCTGATATTGCCTCGCAGACTCCTGTTTGACACGCAATACTCGTGCCCCGGTGTCGTACCTCTGGGGTAGTTCTCTAAGGGTCCTTTAATAAGGATGTCGTACCCCCTAAACCCTAACCCTAAACCCTAAACCCTAAACCCTAAACCCCTAAACCTCTAAACCCTAGACCCCTAAACCCTAGACCCCTAAACCCTAAACCCCAAGCCTTATAACCCTAAACCCTAAACCCTGAGCCCTACTCACTGCGACAGTCAACCCGCACCTGTGGAGACTGTGAGCCCCAAAGTCCCGAAGTCCCTCAGCCCTGACGCGCTGGGTTTCGGGTTTAGGGTTTACGGTTTAGAGTTTCAGGTTTCGGGTTTTCGGTTTAGGGTTTAGGGCCATTTAGGGCTTAGGGTTTTCGGTTTAGGGTTTCGGGTTTAGGGTTTAAGGTTTAGGGCTTGGGGTTAAGGGTTTAGGGTTTAGGGCTTCGGGTTTAGGGTTTAGGGCCCGAACAAGAACACGAGTGAACATAGTCGCATTAATGACGGCCATGATGCTAAGACTGTATAGGGCCCGGAATACTTATCAGCGTTAGTCCTGAGGGTTCCCTATTACACATGTTTTCCTAAACCCTAAACCCTAATCCCTAAACCCTAAACCCTAATCCCTAAACCCTAAACCCTAAACCCTTTTGATCATATCAAGAATGCCTGAAAACTGGCTTCGTCCCTCCTTTCAGGCTGCCTGCGTCGCAGCGATGCTCATTGCCGCCGTGTCGATCATGGCCTTTCTAAACTCATCGCCGCCCGGCGTGAGAAGCCGGAATACACGAGCTGTAGTAGTTAGAATAGGTTTTGGGTTTTTCTTGAAGTTTAAACTATAAGGGCAAAAGGAGATACGATGGCTAATTGTTCCGACCTCTATATAACATACATGCGAATTCTTAAGTCTTTGGTATGTTTGGCAGGGCAGTAGGCTCGCTGGTGCGAAAGTCATGATGGACATGGTACTGGGGGTTGGATCAATAAACGCCACTACAGCAACACCAGACCCTGAACACTAAGCCATGTTAATTATCGTCAGTGAGACTCAGCGCGAAGCAGCCGAGAGAAATGCGAATGACACTGCGAATGCTTGTCATAGCCAGGACGAACTGCCCAGCCGAGAAATCGTGGCGCGCCCACCGCGAATCCAAATCGAACCCCATGCCCAACCTTTGACGACCCATCCAAATCACACCTTAAAGTACCTAAACTCAGTGACCCGACAACCCTAAAACCTTGAGCCCTCCTAAACCCATGACATATGCAACTGACCCACAACTTGCACGCCCGGCAATGCGAACAGCGAACCTCAAGCCCTAATGCCATTGAGCCCTACAAAAGCCTGAAACCCCAAACCCTAATCCCCCGAACCGCAAACCCTAACCCCTATACGCCCCGAACCCCTAAACCCTGATTCCCAAAACACGAAGCCAACGAGCTGACCTGAACCTTCAGGTTGGAGTTTGCCGGTGACCTTGTGGGCATCAGTGGGCTCACTTTCGACAAGGCCCATAGCGAGCCCAATCTCTCTTCAATAATCCATCTAGGAAGGTAGCAGGCTGAAATTAGGACCCCAAAACCCCCAACCCAAATTCAGAACCGCCATTTCTGTGTTAGGGGTCTAGCGAGAATACATATGGCTGCGGTATGGCTTTGTTTCGATCCATGTCAGGGGCTTAAGAGGCTTACGAGGAGTTTGCGTAGTGCAGCTGTTCTCCTCTGCTGCATGGCCTTGGCGATGCTCTACGACTCTACGTGTTGGAACTTTCGGCTTTAGCAGGGTTTCCTAAACCCTAAACCCCTAAACCCCTAAACCCCTAAACCCCTAAACCCCTAAACCCCTAAACCCCTAAACCCCTAAACCCTAAATCCTAAACCCTAGGATTTAGGGAGTTTGGGCACCGTATTGGAGAGAAGCGGCTCCGGGGAAGTCCCTTGTCGTTGTTGAAGACCACGGGGTGCAAGACAGGCTAAGAAGGGTCCTGCTCAGAGACTCCAAAACCCCTTAATTCAGGAATATACCCTAAATCATAATAGGAACCTCAATATGATTTAAGGTATATTCCTTCATTTAAGGTTTGGAGTCTCTGGGTACTCCTACTGTGTTTGTGGTGGGTTCCAGATTATTGAGACTCGAACATACAGTTTCAGAGGGTTGCTCGGGGTTTGCAAGCAGGAAGGTGTTTGAGAAAAGGTACCCTAAACCCCACACCCTAAAGCCATTACCTCCCGAAATCTCGGAAAAAAGCTGAAGTCCTCTTAGAAGTGCCCCATAGCATGGTTTTGGCGGTTCAGGATTTGGGTTTTTGGAGTTTGGGGTTTAGGGTTCAGGGGTTGCTTGTCCAGAAATCTGGGCATTCCTCTTCAGGACTTCCCAGCAGCAGATCCCCCCCCAAACCCAAAGTGCAGCGTTTTCAAGGGAAGATTCTCCCGCGAAACCAAGGGGGCCATGTCATGAAGGGAACTTAATATAGGGGCTTCAATAATTACCTACAGTATTTTGGGGGTTCCTTATTATAAGTATAGTATAATGGGCCCCAAAACCCTATTCCCATACTAGGCATCTCGTCTGAAAGCTTGCAGTGAGTCAGGTGCTGTCCTATCTTCTCTGGCCTTTGGCACTGCTGCTTGGACTTGATACGCCAATGCGATCAGTATGGTTTTGATGGTGATGATGACGATGACGATGGTGATTAATATGAGGATGACCATGATGTTGATGCTGTTGTTGATGAGGATGATGTTGTTGATAATGATGAAGATGATGAAGATGATGAAGGTGATGAAGGTGATTATGATGATGATGGACTGGACGTTCTGAAACGGCCACTGACAGACAGCCACGCGGGAAAAGCGAGCTTCAATCAGAATCCACCAACCTCTGTGGCGATGATGTTTGATGCTGATGCTGGCCTTGAACTGATGGCAAGGGCGAGGTGGCAACGACGAACAAGAAGAAAAGGAAGAGGACGATAACAATGGTGATGATGATGATGATGATGATGAAAATGGTGATGATGATGATGATGATGATGATGATGATGATTGCAAGCTGCCTTAGCATAATCTTCGACACTGAACCCAGTATTCTTTAAGGGACCCTATGCTACTAACTACCAACTAGGTATATTCCTTGAGTTGAAGGAACCCCATTCTGTTGATTCAGGTCCCTATTTTCTCGCAAAGGAGCCCCATTCTAATTATCAATCAAGGTCCCTATACCCTAAACGCTAAGGCCATCTCATTGCTCACGCCCCGATCTGACTTCCACCCTTCACCCGAAACCGTAAACCCTGAACCCGAAACCCCAAACCCTAAACCCGAGGCCCGAGGCCCAAAATCCTAAACCCTCAGGCTCATGGGCGTGCCTTATCCGGATTGCCAAGCCGTGGGACTGTTGATCGGCGGCTCGGGTTTCATCTAGTTTTGTTGAAGGCTTGAATTTATGTTAGGATGTTTGAGGTTTTTACTGGCTTTAAGCGTTCTAAGGTTTTAGGGTTTAGTGGTTTATTATTTTTTTTAGGGCTCGGAGGGTTAAGGGGTTCCAGAGTTGTAGGTTCCTTAGGTGTTTTTTGTGTTTTAGGCCTCGATGGTGTTAGGGTTTTCGGGTACTCAGGGTCTTTAGGACTCTAAGGTGTTAGGGGTTGGGTCTTCCAGAGTCCTGAACAAAAATTTTGGGTTTAGGGTTTAGGGTTTAGGGTTTAGGGTTCCACCAAATCGTGAAGGATATAGATCCCCCGCGGCGCCACAGTGCCCTGGAGATTCTGCGGATAAGTTCCTTCCGTACAGCTGTCGTTTTAAGTCACAGAACCAGGTTGGGAAGTGCAAAGAGGGCGTCCCGCAAGTCGTGAAGGATATCCAAGTCGTGAAGGATATAGGCCCCCCCAAGTCACGAAGGATATAGCGTCACCCACATCGTGGTAGGATTGGGGGGTGTCCGTATGCAACATTTGGGATCTAATATAGGGGCCTAAATTGTTACCTATACTATAGTTTTGGGGCCCTTATTAAAATTTCAGTATAATATACCCCAATACCCTATTCTAATTACTAAGGCTTCTACATTATAGGAGAGACTGCCAACTTGACGGCCAAGCTTTGCCTTGGCGACGCTCTTAACTGAGCCTGTGGAGGTCTCGCTGATGCAACAACTTCAATAGGGCTCTAAGGCTTCCAGAAAGCTGCAAAGGCCAGAGGACCATCCTCACCCTCCTCAGCCCTAAACCCCTGAACCCTAAACCCCTGAACCCGAAACCAAAAAACCTAGGAACCCCAAAAACGCAGCAAAGGCCAGAAGACCGTCCTCAATGAGTTCGTGGCCTACAGGAACCTCATGGACCTGGTAGCTAAGGGGGCGATCAGCAGGCAGGCAGATGCTCAGCTGCTTTTTGTTTTTGTTTTCTTTTCTTCAGCGGTGGGTTAGGGGTTTAAGTAGGATTTAAAGTTGGGGGTCTGGGGTTTACATAGGATTTAAGGTTTGGGGTTTGGGGTTTAGCTAGGATTTAAGGTTTGGGGTTTGGGGTTTAAGGGTCCTTTGGAGCCGAGGGGGGGGTTGCGACTCCGAAGGCTGGGAAGCTCTACAAGGCCCACAACACTCCGCTCCAAAACCTGAGCCGAAACACTCCAAGAGACTCCAAAACCCCTTAAATAAGGAATCTACCTTACATCACGTTAGGGTTCCTATTATAAATGTACGGTATATTCCTTAACTAAGGGGTCCAACAGACCCTGAAACCAGCAGGCCACGAAGCTTTCACAACAGCCGATAGAGGCCTGCACCTGAACGCAAGCAGCTGGACGTCTTCCAACCCCAAGCTCGCAACTTTTCACAGCAAAGCCCGAGACTGAGCCCCCAAACCCCTCAACCCTAAACCCTCAACCCTAAACCCTCAACCCTAAACCCCATAAACCCTCTGTCTGTGGGACTGGATCTCGGCTGATGGGAAAAGTGGTTCAAAAAGGACCTATAAACCCCCAAACCAAAACCGCTGGAGTCTGCTTCTGCCATGTTTAAACCCTAAACCCTAAACCCTAAACCCTAAACCCTGAACCCTAAGTTAAAAAAGGAAATCATCGCGACCTACGCCCTCTGCGGTTTCGCCAACTTTGGCTCCATCGGTGTTCAGGCCAGGGTCACCTGAAGGGCTTTAGGGTTTAGTAGGGTTCTAGGGTTCAGGGTTTAGGGTTTAGGGCTTTAGGGTTTTATAGGGTTTAGGGTTTAGGGTTTTAGGGCTTTAGGGTTTAGGGTTTAGGGTTTTAAGGTTTTAAGGTTTTAGGGTNNTTAGGGTTTAGGGTTTCGGGTTGCTAGAAGGGTCCTGCAAGGATTACTATACTGATTCCAAAGTAGTGACAATTTCCGGTTTCGCGTGTGTCCCCTGACTGCCCTGTTAACTTGAACAGCTATACATCTCGAAGCTTCGAATTTCTAGACTCCCGAACCTCTCCTGATGCGAGTCTTCCCAATGAAAGAGACCAAAGATGTCAGCAACGGGTTCAAGTTCGACCACTTTCTGATACCCGCGCGTGTCTTTGCGATTATGCTGTTGGGCCGGGCTGCGACGGGGTTTAGGGCTTAGGGAACATTTTGTCGTGTTTGAATTTGATGCTCGTATTCTTAACCAGGACAAGCTTCGCTGCAAAACAATCTTGCTGGTTGGACTGCTTGAGTGGAACTTGCTATATAAGAATTGTTACTTGTAGCGATGAAGCGCACAAATCTCCGGAAGCAGTCAACAGAAAGGCACACCAGGCATTCAGTTCCAAAGCAATCCCCAAAAATCCCTCTATACATTCCACAAAGAGCTGCTTGGGCTCCCCCCCTTTTTTCCGTTTCATTGCATCCTTGCGCCTTGAGCTCATGGCCTCGTGGCTTTTTGGACAGCCCCGCCGCCGAACGCCTTTGGCCGGTCGTTTCCCGATCATGCAGATGCAGCCCCCCGATGTCTAGGGTTTAGGGATGTTTAGGGTTTATAGGGTTTATGGGGCTTATAGGGTTTATAGGGTGTATACTGCAGATGTGCTGCTGAAGATGACGAGGGTCGAGCCCCGCGAAAAGCGTTCCCTTCAGCGTGGACCTGGGCAAGGTAGCCCTAAACCCTAAACCCTAAACCCTAAACCCTAAACCCTCAACCCTTTCCTTTCGCACCAGAGCATGAAACGAACCACCCAGATCCCGAGTTCCGGCAGATGTGCATTCTGCAGGATGTCGTAAAGCGGATCATAAACATCTCTGGCTCTCTTTCCTTGGACCTCTCTACAGAAGCCGTGGTGCAAACGGCCAAGCCGCTTTACATGCAGGAGTTCCAGGTATAGACATTCTGTACTTCTGGTACGACTATTTTGGAGTTTCCGAAAATAAGGGGTACCGTATTTTGGGGTCCTTTGAATAAGGATCCTACTATTTAGGGTACTATACTAGGGTCCCCTATTTTCTGAGACTCATGCCCACAGCTAGAGCGTCAGATCGACCAGGCGTGCGCGCGCCGTAGCAAGCATATCGGCATACCTAGCCAGGTGCGGCTTTTTCTTTGCGCTATGCCCCGGTCCCGACTGCCCCTTCCAGAGAACGGTACCTACAGCAGCGACAGGGAGCAGGAAGGCGGTGGTAGGGTTTAGGGTTGGTGGTACCATCTCGAACGTGCGGCATGCGAACTGTCGCCAAACAGCACCTGGAACCTGATTCAGAGCGAAAGGACGAGGAGCAGGATGCTTGCGATCTGTCTGTCATCAACACAGCGGCCGCGACCACACGACCACTAGTAGCTACAATGCTTATAGTTGTCACTGCTCCCTCCACGAGTATTGACGAACTTGTCAGCAATGGCCGTACGAACGATACAGAGAACATAGCATGGCAAGGTGTTCACCGTGATACAAGAAACCCTACACCCTAAAACTTTACCGTTGTCCCTAAACCCTAGCCCTAATCCCTGGCAACCCATGTTGTAATGTAGTATAGTGTAACGTAGTATAATATAGTATAGTATGGTAT